GATTCACAGAACTTCATCATAGGAAAGTACTAATAAGTTGTCTACATCTAAAACACGTCTTGGCGTTTTTGGCTCCAATAAACAAATACACTACACTAAACTCTCTCTTAACGGCACCTTTCTTCATCGGACACCTCTATACGGACAGTTTTTAAAACTAAAATCAGTCGGCGATATATGAAACTGTATATAAATGTTTGTTACTTTTTAATATCTGTAACTACTCGGTACTTCAACTATCAATAGCCGGTATGTCATACCCGTTACTTTCGGAACTTTTAAGAGTACATCCACTCAAATCAAACAAATATTTAAAACTAACAAAGTGAAATTATAGATCCTTTTTCTGGTTTCCAAACCATCGTTCTGCCAATTTCTTTTAATTTATATAGTAAAGTATATGTCTTTTTATTACAGTTGTAGTACCTAATATAGTAATAAAAAGTGTGATATCAAAGGAACCCGGTACGCCTTTTTGGTGTTTACATTTCACGGAAACCCAACCCAAATGTCTTATGAACACATTTTGGCTTTATAGAACTCATTGTATTTATTTGTAGGACCGTTTACGTAAAATTTTTTGTTATTTTCGGATTAAATTTTACAATAAATTTTGCGTCTATCTGAACATAATATATATTAACTGAAATAATTATAGTGTGTCAAACTAACAGTAAATCCATTTTATTGGAATACTGTTTAGACCAATTTACTTTCATACTTCTACTTGCACAGTAAAATATTCGTTGTCGTAATAATCCAAAACAGTCGTATATTCGTGGAATAACCTATAAAAACTTGTATTGGTTAACTTACGGTGAAAATTTTTGTTGACTTCCGGTATATTTTTTATCTTTTTAGATGTAAATTTTATGGTGGAACAGTCAAAACTTGTTAAAAATTAGAAATGTCTTTAAAGTTCGAGATTCACCTTTTAAAGCGAAGTTTTCATATTGGCATTGTATTACTTTTTCTGGGGTGAGAGTGCTAGTGTGCGGTAAATAATTGGAAGAGTCCATTTACACAACAAGGAGAGTCCGTTATACAACAAGCAAACTTATTCAATTTTATTCAAATCTATCACAAGGTTTTCAAATAAAAGCGGTTTTATTTAATTCTTAAATACTATTGTTGCAGCGAAAATTTAAAATAAATAAAAAAGTTATAAATACAATTAATAAAATTAGTTTATTTAATTTTAAAAATACTATTTAAAATTTAAAAATATAGAAAACATGGTAAGTAGCTTCGTGCTAGTTTACAGTACCGCCTACTGTACCTAACACTTTTTTTCTGTAAGGTGAAATTCTTACCTTGCAACAAACGATAGATTTGATTTCAATTCACAACTTTACTTACAAAATTCACACAGAAGATGATTTTCTCACCGATAAAGCTTTTCGCTTCTGTTATATATCTTTCCTTCAACCTTACAATATCGATTTAAACAATCCTCCACTTACCGACTAGCAGATTCGCGTGAAAGAGTCAATAAGTGAAAGCGCACCTTCTTATCAACGGCATGGAGATACATAAGGCAATGGAAAATCAATGCATGAAAGGCTCAAAGAGTATCCCTAGTTAATCATGATTAATAAAAAACACAACCAAACACTCTACTGATCATGAAATTTGGAAAACAAGTTTCAACAGAGGAGAAAAATCATAAGATTGCGAGGCCTCCACAGTTGTCCACGAAAACCAAAGTAGCGACTTGGAATGTTAAAGTATACATCAAGCTAGAAAAGTGCATAATACAGTTAAAGAAATACAAAGACTGAATAAAGATATTAGGAATCAGCGACGTCCAATGGCCTGATTCAGGAAAGATAAAATTAAAAAAAAATATATATTATTTAGGAAGTCAAGATAGTTTACAAGAATATGGTGTCGGAATAATACTAAACAAAAACATTGATAAAGCGGTAGTAAACCTCATATTCAAACATAATTGTACTTTTACGATTAAACTAAAATAAACCCAAAATTAACATTACATATACAAGTTTATGCTCCATTTACTTACAAACCAGAGAGCGATATTGAAACTATCTACGAAGATGGACTATTTTAGAATCAATTAAAACGCAGGATTTTACATTTATAATGAGAGATTTTAACGCAAAGATTGGTGAAGAAAACGTAGAAGAATGTACAGGAGGATACGATCTGAGGTACAGAAACGATAGGTGTGATAGGCTTATCGAATTTTGCCAAAACAATAATTTTGTTATAGCGAATACATTTGGTTTAAACTACCACAGAGAAGAATATACACGTATAGGTACCAGCAGATCATCAAGAAAATTATACGAAACCAAATAGACTATGTTAGACAAAGATACAGAAACGCAATTATATTAGCGAAAACATAGAAAACATATTCGAGTACTGAGATGGGATCAGATCACAACCCATTCATAAGACAACGCTCGACAGATAAAATCAATAATCAATTATTAATGAACGTTAAAAAACAAAATAAGCAAAATACTGAAACAAATACAAACTGACTATTAATAAAGATAAAGGTAAAGATAAAGATAAAGATAAAGAAATAGATAAAAGTCAAAAATAAATTCAAAGAGAAATTATTAGATTTAATGGAAGAGAAACGTCAACATAAAAATAAAGACAATCAGATGTACAAAAAAGTGGATAAACAAATAAAATTCAAAATTTAGCAAGCGAAAGAAGAATGATTAAGAGAACAAGTTTAACCTTGTTTAAAAAAGGTTTTAACACACACAAAAAAAATTCAAGAAGTAACTCACAACAATAGAAAAAGAAAACCGAAAATACTGAAAAATACCAATGGGAAACTAGTGTTGAATACTCACGAAAAATTAATGGACAAAATACATCAATGAGTTGTTCAAAGACAATAAAACAGAACAATTGAAGATGGTGCTGTTTTAAAGATTTTAGTATCTTTAGAAGAGAAAATTAAAATAGCATTCAAAAACAACAAAAATACTAAAGCAGTAGGTCCAGACTAAATCACAGTAGAAAAGGTAAAAGTATCAACGATGAAACCTTAGATATTATATTAGACGGCAAAAATGCAAACGGTAAAGACCGCAATACAAAACAATATCAATAGTAAGTCATATTTTCAAACTATTCTTGAAAATAATAAACGGTCGTATAAATAAAAAACTGGAAGAAGATATAGATGATATTCAGGTTGGGTTCAAAAATGAGCTTAGAACCAGAGAGGCCTTATTATAGCACAAGACGGAGACAGATGGAAAGAGCTGAGGGAGACTTATGTCTAGCAGTGGACGCATACAGGTTGATGATGATGATGATGATACTGATGATAGCTGATGGATAGATGCATGGATATGAATGTGGATGCGCATGTTTATTACGTTGATTTTGAGAAGTGATTTGACAAAGTAAGACATGAAAAATTACTCCAAATTCTAAAAAAATATATCGACAAAGGAACTTTTGGGTATATTAGCAAACCTTTACTGGAATCAACGAGCATAAATTGTAATAGATAACAAACCTAGTTAAGAAATTTAAATCATATGAGGAGTTAGGCAAGAATATATTATGTTTTCATCTCTATTGAATGTATACAGTAAATCGGTTTTTTAAAAAAGCATTAAAACTATTAACAACATAAGATAGGCAGATGACATCGTGATTATGGATACTCTGCTGAATAACTACAACTACTACTAAACAAGAACAGTTACTGTAAAAAATATGGACTAAAAATGTAAATATAAAAAAGACTAAATACATGATAACAAAGAAAACAAATATACAATCAAACATACATTTGGGAGATATGCCGAGAGAAAAAGACAAATACCTGGGAACCTGGATTTCAGAAAATATTGACCAAACAACAGAACTGAGAGTAAGAGCTCTAAGATGTTACGTGTTTTCGGTAGTACAATATGGACTTGGAAGTTGGACACTGAAGGAAGAACACATAAATAAGCTACAATGATTTAAAATCTGGCGATAAAAGTGTTGGACACTTGGACACAGAAGAAAACTGACATGGAAGCAATACGAAAAATGGACAAAGAATGCGTAATAATAGACACAATAAAAATAAGTAAGGCACAATATATGGGACACGTAATAAAAGGGTAGCGATATGAAATGCTAAGATTGATAATACAGGGAAAAATAAAAGGAGAAAGGAGTATAGGAAGAAGAAGAGAAGGAGAGAAATAGAGTAAAAAATTTAAGTAACTTATTTAGATGCAGTTCAATAGAACTTTTCAAAGCAGTGGTAAATAGAGAGAAGACAGTGATCATTATAATCAAGTTCATCATGTATATTTTTATGTATTTTGGCTTTAGCTTTGCTACTACTACTTTTGCTTTCTTTTTGGCTATCTTATCTATCTTAACTCCTTTCATCAAGTTTTTCCAAATTTTCATTACCAGTATATTTAATAATACTAGCGATTTTCTTCAAATAGTCTCCAAATAAGGAGTTCCTTTTATATTTCAGCTTACTTTTTTTAAATTTTTACTGTTAATAGACCTTCTTTCAATTTTTTTAACATACATATTTGATTGGACATATTTTTTTTTGTGGATCTCTCTGATTCAGTTTCGTTTAACTTTTACTACTCCAGCATTAGCGTGGCTCCAATATAATACATGTATGTTGTTGGCTCACAGTCAGTAACTACTACTTTGCAGTTCTTACACTCAGGTATACCGTCTTTTCTGGTTATGAAATACTCTATTTGAGACTGATATTATTCTCTTTTTTAAGTGATCAGTTAACTTTCCCTCTTTTGAAGAATGTAATAACAATTGCCATATCTAATGATGTTGCTTGTTGTTGAATAATTATTACAAGAATTAAACATTGCATACGAATTTGCATTGAAATCTTAGCTTTAGAAGATAAAGTACCTAAACGAACAAGTGACACGTTAGATTCAATCAAAAACTACTGAAAAGAGTTTATATTTTATGCCCTTAAGTTTTCAGTAATAGTATATTTTTAATTTAAGGTTTTAAAATTACGTACCCGTATGGAACATGTAAAGAGCCTCTTCCTGATGTTGAAGATATTCGAAGAATCGCTCTTCTTACAAGAGCAGCTAACACTTTGTGCTTTCAAGTCGGTTCAATTTACCAACTACTTGGACTAAAATTTGGAACTATTATAGATTTTATAAGCATGTTTTTTAACTCTATAAAATTTTGCTACATCTTTCATATAAATAGCAAAAAATGCTCTTGTAATATACAAGAAATTTCCGAACGGGCAAAGGAACTCTTACAATGTTTAGCATTGATGGGACAAGAAGTTATTGAATTATGTAAAAAGCAATCTTCGGATGATAACGTTGTTGAGTTTATATAATAAAACTTTCTACGTATTTCTACAAAATATATAGAAAGGTCTTGTTGCCCAATACAATTATTTACAATTTTTTATTTATAACTAATAATAATAAATTTTAATGTGATATCTGTCAGTTGTTTGGTTTTAATTTAAATATACAATTGTAAGCTTATGTAATTGTGTAATTACCTTTAATAGTAATGAGATAAAAAAATAAAAGTTTAATACCTTTAGTAGTTTTATAAATGGGGATAATTACTATACCTTCGTTCCATTTCTTCAGCTGTTACTCCGATTCCCATATCTCGCCTACCAAGGTTTGTATCACCTCGTGCAGTTGTTCTTTATTATATTTTATGAATTCTGCAGTTGTATTGGCACGTTCAAGTGTTTTGTTATTTTAAGCTGATGAATCGCTTTTTAGTTTTATCAAAATCAAAAAATTAAATAAAATGCATCAACAATTAATACAATTGGTTATAGGTGTAGGGTTGAAAATGAAATATAGCAAAACATAAAATATTAGTAAAAGAACTAATATCATCTCTCTTTAAGTAGAATCAATAGAAAACAATCAGCGAATATATCTCTTTGGGATGTATGATACAACTAGGCAACACCAAAAGGCAAGTATTGATACTAGATATATTAGGCTATTATGGTCACTCTTTATGTAATGGCACAGCGAGCTAACTTAGCAAACTTACGTAGCGAGTTATTCTGGGGGTCTACCAGGGGACATAATTAGAAACTAAGATCTCAGAAACATACAAAAATTAAAGATCTAATAGAAGTGGGAGAAATTTGGTTGCGCCCAACATTTTGTAAGATAAGCTGAAAATACATTGACACGCAGAGTAATAAAGTGAAAAAATGACAAACGAAAAGAGATAGGGGAAGACTCTATAAGAGATGGATCGATAGTATCGTTACTACTACAAGAAAACAGTGGATACGTTAAGTCTACTTCACGTCATACGTCATTCTTTTTTTTTGTGTCCATTCATTTATACAAGGTACGTTACATTTTCTTTGAATGTCTTCACTTCTCTTTCGATCTCTCAGTGTATTTCCTGTAATTCTTCTTAGTACTCTCATCTCTGCCGTTTCCAGTAGCCTTTGCGTTGTAGCTGTGTCGGGTCTTGTTTCTAAGGCATACGTTATTATTTGGTCTTACACTGGCCTTATAAATTAAAGACTTCATCTCAGTGTTAATGTGTCTATTTTGCCATACAGTATTATTAAGGTGCCAATCTATTTGCTTTTTGTACTTAATCTCTCACTTCTTTATCCAGGTCTCCATAGTTGGACGGTGTAATTCTCAGGTATTTTATTTCCATTACTTGATTAATACTGATGCCATCAATTTCTATTTTACATCTGGTTGGTTGGTTCTAAGACCCAAATAAAGATGGATAGACGATATAACAGATATAGCTGAAAAGCAGTGGATGAGAATTGCAAAAGATAGGGAAGCGTGGAAACAATTGGAGGAGGCCTATGTCTAACAATGGATAAATGAAGGTTGAAGAAGAAGAAGGTTCTTTGTTGACTACTATTGTTTCAGTTTTCTGATTTGAGATAGTCTTATGAAATTCTTTTGCTCTTATATTAAATCTGTGGGTCTTTGCAGACCATTTTCATATTGGGTTATCAATATTGCGTTTTCTGCGTAACAGAGTATTTTATTTTTTTGTTTCCCATTCTGTATAACTCTTCCTTTGTTAACACTTTTGATAATTTCATCCATGACTAAATTGAAGAGCATGTGGCTCAATGAATCCCATTCTCTTATTCCGCTGCCTATCTTTATAGGTCCTGTAAGTTTTCCATCTACTCTGACTTCCATTTTCTTAATTTGGTAGATGTTTTCGATAGTTTTTATAATATTTAGGGGAACTTCTCTATTATACAGAAGATGGATTACATCTTTAAGTCTTACTCTGTCAAACGCTTTAAGAATTTATAAGAAGTAGTGCTTAGTGTTTGTGTGGAAAATTAAGCAGCCATAGTGTTAAGCAGAGACGAGTTCCAGTAGAAATAGAGGCATTACTGTAAGTACAAACAGATATATTTTCGTTGTGTCTGAGAGGAAGCAGTTTGTGTGTCTTGGAGTTTGGAGCTTGTGGTAAAGACATCACGACATTTTCACATACTGTTTGCCTTTTTCTTTTATTATCAAAAGAAACAGTAGGCGGAATAGCGAGCAGGGAAATTGGTAGGATCCGGTAAGGACATTGCGATCTGGTCAGGGAACAATCCAAGCAGAATAAAGGGAAGATAGTCTGTTTAAAAACCAAAGTTTCGAGTTTTTAAATAAATTCTATAAAGACATTCTATCACGACCATCTATCAACATTCATGTCAATTGTTTGTAATTTGTGTATGGTGTAAGATTTATCCTCAATGGAATTTTAAATTAATTGGATATATTTTAAAATAAAGGACAATTGTTTTAATATCAGAATTGATTGTCTATTATTTCTTTTTCCTTTTGTTGATCTTTCTTAATTGAACTAGCAAAGGTACTTTGAAGCCGCGTTTTAATTTAAAAAAAAATATTTTTAGCCCTGAGATATTCTTTGCTTTTGATTTGTTTCATAAAGATAAATTTATTACGTTTCAGACTATATAAGTAGATTTACAATTATAAGCAAATCACAACAATATGTATATATATATATATATATATATATATATATATATATATATATATATATATATTGTTATGGGTATCACATTGTATATATATTTATGTATCACATACAGCAACTTAAACTTATTCGTCAACTAGTTCGTAAGGTTTTGTTATGCAATTTGCAATTAAGTTAAATTTTGCAATGGATTGTATATTTTACTCTTTTATTTTGTTATATTGACGATTTATGTAATTTTAGTAAATTTGAATTGTTATTGTTGTTTTTTTTTACTTTTTGTAAGTTTTGTCCATAAAATTGTATTATTTTCAGTGACAATAAAGCATATTTCTATTCTATTCTATTCTATTCTATTCTATTCTATTCTATTCTATTCTATTCTATTCTATTCTATTCTATTCTATTCTATTCTATTCTATTCTATTCTATTCTATTCTATTCTATTCTATTCTATTCTATTCTATTCTATTCTATTCTATTCTATTCTATTCTATTCTATTCTATTCTATTCTATTCTATTCTATTTATTCTATTCTATTCTATTCTATTCTATTCTATTCTATTCTATTCTATTCTATTCTATTCTATTCTATTCTATTCTATTCTATTCTATTCTATTCTATTCTATTCTATTCTATTCTATTCTATTCTATTCTATTCTATTCTATTCTATTCTATTCTATTCTATTCTATTCTATTCTATTCTATTCTATTCTATTCTATTCTATTCTATTCTATTCTATTCTATTCATTCATTCTATTCTATTCTATTCTATTCTATTCTATTCTATTCCATTCTATTCTATTCTATTCTATTCTATTCTATTCTATTCTATTCTATTCTATTCTATTCTATTCTATTCTATTCTATTCTATTCTATTCTATTCTATTCTATTCTATTCTATTCTATTCTATTCTATTCTATTCTATTCTATTCTTTCTATTCTATTCTATTCTATTCTATTCTATTCTATTCTATTCTATTCTATTCTATTCTATTCTATTCTATTCTATTCTATTCTATTCTATTCTATTCTATTCTATTCTATTCTATTCTATTCTATTCTATTCTATTCTATTCTATTCTATTCTATTCTATTCTATTCTATTCTATTCTATTCTATTCTATTCTATTCTATTCTATTCTATTCTATTCTATTCTATTCTATTCTATTCTATTCTATTCTATTCTATTCTATTCTATTTCTATTCTATTCTATTCTATTCTATTCTATTCTATTCTATTCTATTCTATTCTATTCTATTCTATTCTATTCTATCTTCTATTCTATTCTATTCTATTCTATTCTATTCTATTCTATTCTATTCTATTCTATTCTAATTCTATTCTATTCTATTCTATTCTATTCTATTCTATTCTATTCTATTCTATTCTATCTGACAGAATAAAGTCGTTCATTAAATTAAATCTAATAGCAGATTTTGTTAAATACGTTTCTAATTTAAGAAAATATGAACGTCCTAATACGACCATATTCTATTTTCAAACCAAGTTTTTTTATAACCTTACTTTGTAATGAAAATGTTAAGAAATAAGTACTCTTCATTGTCTTCAATAAGTTCAAATTTATAACATATTTAAACATACTGTTTATTCTCTGGAATTCTTCAAAAAATAATTCATGCTTTTAACTATCTATATAGCAATTCTTCCTACAACTAAGCACAACTGAGTTATTTATATAGTCACGTATTACTCTGGAATTAAACCAATTTTAAAAACAACTACGTAAACTTCATTGCGCAGAGCTATTCAAACATTGGTTTTTCAATGTCGCTTGCTTAGAGACATTTATTTATTTGACTTTAACCGATATTTATAACCCGAAGTCCAGTTTCCTCCTTGTCTATCAAAGAGATCTAAATTTATTCTGGTTGAGTTCATTTAAAAGAACAAGAAGAAGACTTAAATGGTCTTTATAGTTATTTGATGACTTTAACAACACGGCGACGAAAAAATGTTGATTGGGCGGGTGGGAACAAGTGGTTGATGATATGACCTTATAAAATGCTGTCGATATTTTGATCCATTAAAACTGAGTATAATGATTAATATTACGTCTTTTTTTTAAATTTTTTTCTAAATAAAAGAATATGTTAGGTTAGGTTAGGTTAGGAGCGAATGCGATACGTTCCAATTGAAGCCTAAAGATTATTAAGTATATTGAGAATAATTTCTAGTAAAAATTGTTAATTAGGTACAAACTATTTTTGTCAACAGTGAGACAATAAAAGTATATATATATATATATATATATATATATATATATAATATTATATATATATATATATATATATATAGTTATGTGAGGTTATACTAAAAGTTAAAATGATAAAATATGAAATAGAAGAATTTAACATATATACAGGCTTTGAAAAAAGATGAATACTATCTTTTTTGTTGTTGAATGTGTGTACTTTTAGAGATACCAACT